TATAGCATTAATCTTCTAGAAAAGAGTAGTGACTTCCTTTATAAAGTAAGGCATATTTTCTATAGCTTGTTTTTTTTTTTTTTTTGTTATTTCTTATATCCATCCCTCTTATTTAAAAAACTCAATATCTGCCTGGCCACTGAGGTCAGTGAGTTTTCAACCCCCAATACGTAAAGTGAATATCTTTGAAAAAAGAAATGCATTTAGATACCCAGGAGAAATAGTAATTAAGATAAAAATCACAGATCATCTCTATTAGTCCCTGTTATCCATCCAACACCCAATTGTGCGAGTCTTCTAGGAGGAGCATTTTCACCCCAAAAATATTTTGGGCACTTACTATGTTCTATGCACTAGGGATACAGCAACAAATGAGGCAGGAAAAGTCCCTGTTCTCATGGAGTTTACATTCCAGTACAGGAGAAAAAACAAGAAGCAAACAAACATGTAATGTGATATCAAATAGTAATGACCACCAAAAACAGAAATAGACCCAAGTCGGAGGGAAAAGAAAATGTGATGAGTAGTTCATCAATAAATGAGTGGATCAAAAAAGTATGAAATATATATTTGAGCCTGAAAAAAGAAGGACATTCTGTTATTTGCTATAATATTGAGGAACCTGAAAGGCATTGTGCTAAGTGAAATAAGCCAAAGAGAATGAGATAAAGACTATACTGAATTATAGCATTTATATGTGGAATCTAAACCAAAAAAAGTTTAAGGCATGTAAACAGAAAGTAGAAAAGTCGTTTTCAGGTGCTGGGCAGTGGGTAAGGAAATAGGGAGAGGTTGGCAAAAGGATATAAATTTTCTTTACAATTTTATTTGTCAATTTTACCCAGTAATGTTAATTTTTTTAAAAGAAAGTGAAGGGTAATATTATTTTACATAGGAGTGTCCAGGAAAGCCTAAAAAGTAGGCAATATTTAAGTAGATACTTATATAAAAGGTGGAAATGAGTCATGGGGACATCTTGGAAAATAGTATTCCAGGCAGAGGAAATAACAAGTGAAAAGACCATGAGCTAGGACTGTGCTTAGTGAGTATGAAAAATTGAAGGGAAGCTAGTGTGTGTGATGTTCGAGGCAGATTATGGTAGAAAATGAAACCAGAAATGATAATAGATTATGTCAAGCCTTCTAGACCATGGCAATGATTTGGGATTTCATTCTAAGTGAGGGTTTCATTCAATGAGCGTTCTGTAATTGGAGGGTTCTGATCAGAAGACTATGTGATCTGACTTAACAAATAAAAGGATCATTTGGGCTACTGTGATAATAGACTGTAAAGGCATAGGGGGAAGCAGGGAGACTAGTTAGAAGGCTATTACAGTGAACCAGGCAGTTGATGCTGGTGGCTCAAGCTAGGGTGGCAGCAGTGAAGATGGGGAAAGAGGTAGGAGTCTGGTGAGTAGAGAAAAATGTCAAGGATGACTTCAAGAATTTTGGACTAAGCAGTTGGAAGGATGGTGATAGGATGGAGAAGGAAATTGGAGGATCAGGTTTATAGGGAGAAGAGATTAGGAATCCTATTTGGAACAAGTGAAATTTGATATGTCTATTAGTGGAGTTTTTGTATAGTTGTTGAATAGGCAGTTAGGTATACAATTCTGGAGTTTAGGTGGGCTAGAGATATAAATTTTGGAGTTGTCAATTAATAAATAAATGTCAAGCAAACCTTGACATGAAATGAAGTCATCTATAAAGTGAGTGAGAAGAGGGGGCCTGAACCCTGGGGAACATTAATATTTAGAGATCAGGAAGATGAGAATTAATATATCCTCAGATATTCATGATTTTGATAATTTCCTTGTAGAAGCCATGAGAGGTGGCAGTTTTACAGTATGCCTTAGTTTCTAGTGTCAGATTATTAGAAATTTTAAGGGCCGCTACTGGTAGCTTACTCATTAAAGAGAAATAGATTTATTTTGAACCTTAAATTTAACTATTTCTATCTCTACTGCCTGAATGATAGGAGTCTTATTATTTTTCTTCAAAGCAGGTTTTTAATTGTAACCTTATGTATCTTTGGTGAATTTTTTGTTTAATTTTTATCTTTTTTGCATACTCACTGCCCTGAAGACTGTAAGCCTCACACAGTCTTGGGGATCTATATCTTATTCAGCACTCAATTCCCCAGTATCTAGCACAATGGATTCTAATTACCTATTAGTGGCCAGATACTGCCCAAGTTGCCGTGGATACAGAGATGGACAGGAACAAAGTGACCCTTGCTGCAAGGTGTCTGGACATGATCAATGTCTGCCCTTCATGTAGATGGACTAAGTGGTTGCCTAGTGCACAGGAGAAATTATCCAAATTCTGTAAAATAAATCCTATTTGAACATGGTATATTTCACAACATATCATTGCCATTTTAATCTCAAAGTGACTCTACAAGTTAGATATTATTACCCCTATTTTACAGATGAGGAAACTGAGTTTCAGAATGTCTGATCAGACAAGTTAGTCCCAATGAACCAGTGAGCTGAGTCAGTGGCTGAACTAGGATCTTGTGAACCAGAGTCTGCTGACTTCACTTTCCATATTAGACTATTTTATATTTAAACCCGCCATTATTTTAAGATAGAATCAAGTCCAACAGAGTAAGAAATGATGTTAGAGAGATAAAAGCACTATTCTCAGAATGACATTTCCTTGCTTTTACTAGAGCTACTGGTCAAAGTTGAGTATTAGAGCTGGTTGTAAAATAAAAATTCCATCCTGGCTAGGAAGTACAACTAGTAACCTCGCTGCTTGAAACTGTTCTATTGCTCTATAGCCTAGACAACAAAAACACTGACTGAGAAAATTTGTCCTGTTACATTTGCAAAACCTTTTTCAGATGCACACATGCAGAAAGTATTCAGCCTTTTATAGTAATCAAGAGTTGTGGCAGAGTAAGAGCCAATCTCAGAAACTGCTCCAGCTGCTAGAGTTGTTGTCCCTATATCTGAGTTTATCTCCTTTATCTGTAAGTTTACAATTTCTTTGCCCATTAATACAATTTCCACCCCACCTGAAATCCACTCTTGAGATAGATCTCCATGAGTGCCAACTTATTTAAAAATATATACACCTGCTAAAGGCCTGTTAATACCAGGTGATACCATGAAGTATTGCTTATTTTTATTATAATAATTATAAGAATATGATATGATCCTATTCATTATTTTTCTTTATATTTTAGTCAGAGAATAAAAAAAGTGACTTTATTTCTCATGCAATAATAAAATCCCTAGTATTTCATTTAAGCAATATAAGGTGAAGGTGAAATGTAGAGAAAATCATGACCTATCAAATATTACATAACAGTTACAACCAAAGCACATTTTATCTTACTGGATTTAACACATAATATTTCATTTCATTTACCACTTCATAATGTTATAAAAGATCATAGGCATTTTAAACTAATATCCACTGCAAGAGAGATATTTTTTCCTTAAAAAGACAATGTTTAATAAAAGTTTACACTAAGTGATAACATAAGACCAGGAAACATATCTAACTTCAATAGTTACTTGGTAGCTAAACAAACCATACTCGTAGCTATAAAAACAAATACCCTTTTTACGCAGAAGAACGCTGGCATGTTTCCGTCCATTTCGGTTTTCCACATGGCAGGTATAATTTGCCAGGTCAGCCTCCACCACTGAATCAAAGATGAGTGCCAACTCAACTTCTTTTTCTCCAAGATGCTCTTTGAGGAGCCTGAAATAAAGACAGTATTCTTGGCTGAACTGGTCTGATTTGGGGAGAGAACAGCCATGCAAAGATTGCAGATCCTTACAAAGCTTGCACTGGTCTCCAATGGGTATGGAAATTCCTGACTGGGTTATGTGCAGAACCTTCAGCAAGAAAAACAAAAGATGGCTCTTGATGTGAAGATCCGATGTGAAAGGAAAGAATTGAGAAATTCACTCAGCAAAAAGAAATGTTATCATGCCACTAGGCTTTGATAAATGAAGCCAAGATAATTTGTGTGAAAAAAGAAGCAACATTGGGCTCCACATTTTAAGCCTAGCTTATGAAAACAATTTGAATTTCTGCACTAAAATCAAATAAAAATTAATTGGGTTTTTGAAGAAAAAAATCTGTAGGAATGTTGGATTTGTGTTAGAGGTTAGAGATTTGACAGCAGGTTTTGAAAGGGTAAAGAAAGGAGCCTTGAAAATAGTTGCTTTATGATAAGCAAATTGAGGGTGTTAGTGGCCCAAATATCAGTGAGAACCCTCTTCTCTACTTTTCTCCTGCCTTTTGTCCAATGCAGGTGTGTTCCCTGTGCCCTATCTTCTCAGTGGTGCTAGCCCCCCACCATGGTCCTCCTTTCTTCAGACACTGCTCCACGTTTGCTTTTCTCCTTCCCTCTCTCATAGGATAAACCCTGCCCTATGTTACATTTTCTCATAGTCTTGCTTTTTGCTTTCTCAAGTGAAGTTTCAAAGGCCTTGAATAACCAGGAACAGGTGTTCTTCACAGAGGAGTTGAGTTTCCAGAAATACTTCCTGAGGAGTGTGGGTCCCATTTCTTTGGTGAATTATACTCTCAACGATAACCATCTGCCTAAGTGAAAGTGCGTACCCTACTGACTTTTCTGTTTTGTCCTGCTTTTGACTAAAAAGAGAGCAATAACGAGTTTTAATCAATAATGGCAATCCTACCTTTAAGTTATTGGATGAGGTTCTTAAATAGACATATTCGCAAAATGTAAAAGTGGGGCATGGAAGTAATTCTCATTTTTTTGACACCTAGTTATGAATACAGAGAAGAACCCTCTGATTTACTGGCATTTAGCATAAAGTTGGAAAATACAACTGTGCTCAGAAAAAACTGTTTCCTAAGTACAGACTTCCCACTTACTAGCTCAAGCTGAATCCTTATAAAGTCATTAACTCAGTGGCACCTTAATTTAACTCTTCTTTAAATTGGTAAAAATACGTACCATATTTACCTTAACTTTCTTGTGAAGGTAAAATGGGTTAAAGTGATTTAAAATATAAATATCACTAAGCACAGGCAAAGGAATGTTATTAAATATCAACATTTCATTATCTAAAGGTAGATTGTTTACAGTTTGGCTCCTCCAAAAATATTTGCATTTACATTTACTGATACTTAAAATGGGCTTGGGTTAATCTCTTCTGGCTCTCCTTTGAGAGAAAGAAGGGCTTAAACTTGGGTTGGTGGAAGAGAGTTCCTAGAATCTGAGAATCTCTCGTATGAAATCTGAAACCCAGATTATATTCCAAATATATATGCTTTTAAAATTAACCTTGTTTCTGTTCCCTCCCAATAATATATCTGAGTGTAGATGATACTGACATCTTAAGTTTCCTTCTGCCCTTTATATTTATGTGTCATCACTGAACCAGACAAGTATAAGAATTTTCTTAACCACATTTTACTAGTAGTGTTTCTATTAAATATTTCTTCCTGGATAAAGTTATTTTCCTCTCTTTTTCCTCTCCCAGTATATATCTAATAAAGGGGAAAAATGGAAATTTACTGTCTTCATAGTTTATGTTGAATCGTACTCTCATTTTTCCCTGCTATGGGTAAATCCCAACTACACTTAATTTTTTAAGTCCTGGAAACCTGTTATAGAAGAACCTCCTATGGTGCAGAAGCTGATTTAGGTACCACATATTAAGTCTGATTTAAAGCTTCATATGTAGAGCAGCCACAGCCTCTGCCAGGCATGAAGCAGAAAGCTGATCCTGTACCAAACCCCTGCCTCTTAACTTCTAATGCAGTTTCCAAAAACAGCTCTTCATGGACTACAAGAAGAATCTGGAGAGTGGATTTCAAAAATGATCCTTCATCTGTCTATTAATATGTATGAGGTGTCTTAATTATCAGCTTTTGAAAATCTAGAGGTGGCTTGTAATTTTGGAGTTAAAGAGCAAGTTGTTGTTTATGTCTACACATCGCTCTGAAGGGCAGTTACAATTTCCTAGCAAATACTGACATATAACAATATATCAATGATTCTTTGTCAATCCTCTCATAAGTGCCTAGTTCTGGGCTAGATATTTGGTATAAGAGAAACATAAACATTAAAAGACCAGATCCCTGCTCCCAGTAAGCATTAAAACTTAACAAGGAGACAGGATCTACAGAGTTGAAAATAATTATAGACAAAATGAAGTAAAGCAGAGTGATATACTCATTATTGCAATGAGATTTCAAAAAAAGGAGAGAATTTTTGGCTAAATTAGCTGGGAAAGATATGACAAGACTCTACCTAAACAAAATGAAAAAGGGAGAGTTTTCTAGGAGGGAAGATAGAAGCAGGTTTTACAGCATGTATGAAAGAGAGATACTAAAGAGACTGGTTTTGGAGTGGAGGATACAAATGAGGGGATCTGGAATATGCTTCAAATGACTTCAGAAATACCTAATTCCAAGGATTAACATTGAAGGCAAGTTATATGTGAAAGTGAACACTAGCAAATTAAAAACATAATAAATTCAGGTGACAAATCACTACCTTCAAAAGTTTTATTTAGTTAAGACCTATTTATTATTAAGAGTAACACTAGAAAAGGTTTGGAAGTTGTCGCTCATCCTTACAACAAGTAAAAAACTGAACAAAATGAAAAATCAACTCTTCTTAGATCCATCAGACAATTGAGGTCACAGGGAACAAACTCCTGTTCCCGAAACTTGATACAGAAGGAAGTACTGAGAATCACACTGTGCTGGAGCAAAAACCTAGGAGCAGTAGCCAGTACCAGTAGAAACACTTAAATTGCAATCGATGAGTCAATGCAGACCCAGTGTAGACTAACTTGAGAGTTAAAAGCTCCATGGGATCTAATCTTAAAGATGCCCCACACTTTTCTCGGTTTTGCTCCCTGTGCCTTCGGGTGAATATCAGAGAAAGATTCTCTTATGCTTCTGGCAAGGGAAGAGGAAAAGTAACTAACATGAAATGATCCCAGCACACTCTGTTCTACTTAACAAAGGCCTGCCCTTAAGGAAAACTCTTTTACCAGAGCCTAAAAGACTTGGGTTTTACCAAACCTAGCCTACCTGAGGGAAGGGAAATATTCAATTCTAGCCCAGAAGAAAACAGAAAATCTTCTCGACATTGGTCTGGACAATTATATATATATAGTTTGCATATGATACCAAAAGCACAGTCAACAAAAGCAAGAAAAAAGACAAGTAAAATGGCATCAAACTTAAAAATTTGTAAAGTCAAACAGAGAAAGATAAATATCATATGCTTTCACTTATATGTAAAATCTAAACAAAGAAACAAGCAAACAAAAAACAAACTCATAGATACAGAGAATAAATTGGTGTTTGATAGAGGCGGGGGTGAGAGATAGGCAAAATAGGTAAAGGGAGTCAATAAATCATGGGGATGTAATGTACAGTATGGTGACTATAGTTAATAATACTGTATTGCATATTTGAAAGCTTCTAAGAGAGTAAATCTTAAAAGTTCTCACACAAGAAAAAAATCTGTAGCTATGTTTGGTGAGGGATGTTAACTAGACCTACTGCGATGACCATTTCACAATATATAGAAATATTAATCATTATGTTATACATCTGAAACTATTATAATGTATGTTAATTATATATCAATTAAAAAATAGAGTGAAAAGGTAACCTACGGAATGGGAGAGAATATTTGCAAACCATATATCTGATACAAGGTTAATATCCAAAATATATACAGAACTCTTACCACTCAAAACAAATACTAAACTAAACTAAACAAGTAACCCAATTTAAAAATGAGTAAGGGGTCTGAATAGACATTTCTTCAAAGAAGACATACAAATGGCCAACAGCTATATGAAAAGGTGCTCAACTGCACTATCCTCTGGGATATGAAAGTAAAAACCACATGAGATATCATCTCACACCTGTTAGAATGGCTTGTCAGAAACAAACAAACAAAAAGTTAAGAATTGTTGGCCAGGATGTGGAGAAAAGGAAATACTCTACACTGTAGGTGGGAATGTAAATTGGTACAGCTACTGTGGAAAACAGTGTGGAGGTTTCTCAAAAAATTAAAAATAAAATGACCATATTATCCAGCAATCCCACTTCTGGGTATATATCTAAAGGAAATAAAATCAAGATTTTGAATAGATATTTGCACTCTCATGTTCATTTTAGCATTATTCATAATAGCCAAGAAATGACTTAAATGAATGACCAGATGAATGGATAAAGAAAATGTAGTTTATGTATACAATGGAATATTTATTATTCAGCCTTACAAGAGAAGGACATCTTGTCATTTGCAACAACATAGGGGACCCTGGAGAATATTGTGCTAAGTGAAATAAGTTAGATAATGGAAAATACTGTATGATATCACTTATATATAGGATCTAAGAAAAGCCAAACTCATAGTAACAGAGAGTAGAATGATGGTTACCAGGAGCTGGAAGGTGGAAAAAATAGGGAGATGGTGGTCAAAGGGTACAAACTTTCAGTTATAAGATGAATAAGTTCTGAAGACCTAATATACAGCATGGTAACTATAGTTAATGATATTATACTTCATACTTTAAATTTGCTAGGAGAGTAAATCTCAAATGTTCTCAACATCCGCACACAAAAAATGGTAACTACATGTGGTGATGGACGTGTTAATTAGCGTGATTGTGGTAATCATTTTACAATGATTTGACATATATATACCAAACATCACGTTGTCTCCCATAAATATATGCAACTTTTAT